TCGCGCCTTGGCTCCCCGCGCCTGACCCAGAGGAGTTCTCCGACCTCCCGCCCGTCCCGAGCCACCACCTGCGCGCAGATGGAGCTGGACCGCATGACCACCGGCGGCCTCCACGCCTACCCCGGGCCGCGGGGCGGGCCGGCGGCCAAGCCCAACGTGATCCTGCAGATCGGTAAGTGCCGGGCCGAGATGCTGGAGCACGTGCGCAGGACCCACCGGCACCTGCTGGCCGAGGTGTCCAAGCAGGTGGAGCGCGAGCTGAAGGGGCTGCACAGGTCTGTGGGCAAGCTGGAGAGCAACCTGGACGGCTACGTGCCCACCAGCGACTCGCAGCGCTGGAAGAAGTCCATCAAAGCTTGCCTGTGCCGCTGCCAGGAGACCATCGCCAACCTGGAGCGCTGGGTGAAGCGCGAGATGCACGTGTGGCGGGAGGTCTTCTACCGCCTGGAGCGGTGGGCCGACCGCCTGGAGTCCATGGGCGGCAAGTACCCCGTGGGCAGCGAGCCCGTCCGCCACACGGTCTCCGTGGGCGTGGGGGGTCCCGAGGGCTACTGTCAGGAAGCTGACGGCTATGACTACACCGTCAGCCCCTATGCCATCACCCCGCCCCCTGCCACCGGCGAGCTGCCCGGGCAGGAGCCTGCCGAGGCCCAGCCGTACCAGCCGTGGGGGCCAGGCGAGGACGGGCAGCCCAGCCCGGGCGTGGACACGCAGATCTTTGAGGACCCCCGGGAGTTCCTAAGCCACCTGGAGGAGTACTTGCGGCAGGTGGGCGGTTCTGAGGAGTATTGGTTGTCTCAGATCCAGAACCACATGAACGGGCCAGCCAAGAAGTGGTGGGAGTTCAAGCAGGGCTCAGTGAAGAACTGGGTGGAGTTCAAGAAAGAGTTCCTGCAGTACAGCGAGGGCACACTGTCCCGGGAGGCCATCCAGCGCGAGCTGGACCTGCCGCAGAAGCAGGGCGAGCCCCTGGACCAGTTCCTGTGGCGCAAGCGCGACCTGTACCAGACCCTGTACGTGGACGCAGATGAGGAGGAGATCATCCAGTATGTGGTGGGCACGCTGCAGCCCAAGCTCAAGCGCTTCCTGAGGCATCCGCTGCCCAAGACGCTGGAGCAGCTCATCCAGAGGGGCATGGAGGTGCAGGACGGCCTGGAGCAGGCCTCCGAGCCGGCTGGCCCCCCTCTGCCTGCCGAGGATGAGGCCGAGACCATCACTCCAGCCCTCACCAGCGAGTCCATGGCGAGTGACCGGACACAGACAGAATAGAGCCCAGCCCAGGGCCCCCCCAGCCTGCTTGCCACACCTAACCCTGTGGCTTTTGCCAACCAGGACTTGAGCTGGGGTTGATTCCCCCTCCCCTCCGGGGGGGAGCTCTGGCCAGCTGGGCACCCACACGCCCCCTGGCCTGATGCAGACACAAGCAACCAAAACAGCAAAGGAGCTACTCTCTTGCAAGGCTCCTGCCTGCCCCTCCCTCGTCTGTCTTCCTGTCCCCTCCCCCCCCATGGCCAGTGGCCCCATCGTCCTCACACTCAGGCCACTGCAGAAGACCCCCAGCTTCCTCATTCTGCTCCAAAGCCCCGGCCCTCTGGTCCGGATGGCAGGAGCCAATGGGCTCCCAGCTCACGGGTACCCCAGGGCAGAAGCTCCAGAGAACCAGTGCCCAGGGAACTTCGGCTTCTGGGGACACCGCCTGCTCCTGACAGACGCAGTAGAGCCGGCGGCCACCCTCGTGGCCTCCTGGGGACAAGCCAGCCAGCTTCAGGCAGCATGGCGCCCCTGCCAGGGGCGAGCTGAGACCACAGCTCCAGCAGCTTCAGCAGTAGACCTGATGTCCCCGTGTCTCCTGGCGCTCAGGTGAGCCCTGCTCAATGACATCTTAGAGCTGGGGAGGGGGGGGAGCAGGTTCGTTTTCAGGGGGAGCCGCTGAGGGACAGGGTGGAGATGGCCTCGTGGGAATACAGATACTCCAGGGACTCAAGAAGGGGCTGGGCTGGGGGCTGGGCCGGGGGAGGGGGCTGGGCTGGGCCGGGGGAGGTTGCTGAGCAAGCTCACAGAGACCCTGTGCTTTCTCGCCCCAGCATGGTGATTCACGGCAGTTTGGAGACGAACTCGGCTCGGATGACTCAGCCGCAGCGGCAGAGGGTCCCAGAGGGGCTGGCTGAGGCAAGAAACTGCACCTTCGGAGCCAGGAGAATGACACCAGGTAATGGAGCCCTGTCCCTCCTGCCCAACGCTACCCCTTGACCATTGTCCTCCTGAGGCCCACTCCCCTGACCTCTGGGTGAGCTGGGAGGCTCGGCCAGCGTCGGGCACTCCAGCCTGGGGAAGACAGCCCATCCACCTGTCCACCCGTCCCTGATAGATAGTTTGAGTGAGGCTGGCACGTGGCTGCGCTGACCGGCTGCTTCTGCTTCTCCCCAGGTCTCAAGGCTTCCGAGGAGTCTTTGCTGCTGTGCCTGGCACTGTCCCCTCTCCTCTCTCCGAGCTGCCTGCACACGTCCTGGAGCAGCAGAGAGAGTGTGGCTGCAGAGAAGCAGTGGCCTGGCAGAGGGCAGCACCCAGCTCAGCCTGAGAGCTGGCAGTGGACATGCCAGCGTGAGGGCCCGGGCTTTTGCCACGCTGGCCCCGCTGGCCACCAGATGCTTGCCCCCAGAGCCACCACAGCTGGAGCGGGGTTCCCTGCCTGGCCGCCCGGCCCCGAGCCCCTGCTCGCTGTGTGGTCCTCACTTCCTGCCAGAGCCCTCCAGCAGCCCTGAGGCCGCTGCCCCTTCCCCGTGGCCCCAGCCCAGCCCAGGAGGCCCCCAGGTCTCTCCTGCTGGGTTGTTCCAGGCATCCTGCCCTGCCCTGCTGTTGCCCAGGCTAGGCTCCATTCAGGCCCTGTCCATCCCCAGTACCAGTCCTGGGGGCTGGAAGCCGCTCATGCCTGCAGCTCAGCAGGCCTTGCCCACTGGAACTCTGGAATCTGGGGATTTATTCTGCAGACACCCATACAGACACTCCCCTGTGCCCCTGCCAGCCCCACAGATTTATTTTTGCAGAAGCCATACCCCTCCTCATTAACTGGCACAGGTGCAGAGGGCCTGGGGTCGAGACCACAGGTGCCCACTGTCCCCTCCCTCCCCGACTGGACTGTGTACCCTGCCACGCCCCTGCCACCTCAGATTCTTTTTTAAAAATAGGATTTTGTTAATAAAGTACTGAAACTTCTCTGAGCATCCCTGCTGTTTCTCTGAGGGGGGGGCTGCGGGGGAACCCCTATCCCGAGGGTGAGGACCTGTGGGCACAGTGAGGTGCACGTCACCTCCCAGAGGAACCTGAGCTGTGGTTCTGGGGGCCCTGGAGCCCCTCACTCAGGGGCTATTACCACAGCCCCAAGCCTGGCTCAGTCTGGGGGGGGCTTGCGCTGAGCCAGGGCCTGTCCCCCAGGATAGCTCCTGCTGGACGGGGGTCTTGGGGGAGCCAGCCAATATCCATTGCTGGGGCTGGGGCTGCTCAGCCTGCTCAAGCCAGCCTGTCTGTCCTGGCTTCAGAGGCCAGCTTGGTCTCTGAGCCTGTGTCCTCATCTGCCCAAGGAGATGAGCCAACGTTAGCTCTAGACATGCACTGGCCGGAGAACTTGGGTGCCAGGGGCATTTGCTACCCCATGGGAAATCAGAATTCCTTTCTCCTGCTGGGTTCCCAGAGGGGAGGCCACGGCAGCCTGGACAGGGCCCTTCCAGCAAGGCGAAGCAGCACCAGCAGAGACTGAGTGCCAGATCATGGGAGTTGTCCCAATGGTGGGGCTGCTCTAGCCAGGCCTGGCCCATGGGGCAGTCGGAACTCCTGATATGAGCCAAAATTGGTGTCCCCCCAGTGCGGGGGGGTCACCCCTGCACTCAGCCTTCAACCTATGCACACAGCCCAAGGCGATCCTCCCCATCAGCTGACTCTGGACTTGCAGCACACTTCCAAAGCAGTGTCAAGCAGCACTGTTAGAATCTGAGTGGATGGCTGGCACGGGGTCTGACCGACCGTCACACCCACCCCTCCCAGCTGCAGGGCTGGCTCCTCCACTGCCCACGGGGCTCTGATGGGGCTGTTCTGCGGTTGCAGGGTCCTGGATGGAGCAGCAATGGCTGCGGGGGAGGGGGGCGAGCCAGAGCTGCACCTGCTGGTGACCCAGCAGTGCTGCACCTGCCCAGGGGAGGGAGAGCCGGAGCAGGACACAGATGGAGTGGAGAGAGCCACCTGCCGCCAGGAAGCTCCTCACCCTCCAAGGCCGGGGGTGCCCCAGCGAGCGCCATACTCTCCAATGAAAAGCTGCCTCTGCTCCTTCTTCCCCTTTGTCTCTTTTAACCAAGGAAACTGCTGACAAGAAGGAGGAGTAGAGTGCGGGGCGGGGGGGGGGGGGGCGGAGCCCAGCGGGCACACATACCCCCTGCTCACCAAGCTGGAGCCCACATTGTTTCTCTTTCAATGTTACTGTGATTGACAAGCTCTTTGATCTTAAGAGATTTGGGGCTCAGCTGTGTGTCTCTGATCCCGGGCAACCAGGCAGGGGGCTGTGTAGGGGAGGGATGTGGAGCAGCCCAGGCCTCCCAGCTCCTACAGCCTGATTTTGGACACCTTGCACAGTGGGCCTTAACAGCCTGGCCACACCTGCCCATCCAGGCATCACAGGTCACCTGGAAGTCATGGTCTTCTAATCGAATCAGGAATATCAATAATTCTTAGATCATACATTACACGTCACACAACAGTATGTAGGTTACAGAGTGGTTAAGAAAGGGTTAAGAGGAGTGGGGGTGGGGGGTGAGGGCACCCAGCAGTGCACAGCTGTAATCCCAAGAACTCCAGAGGCAGAGCTAGGAAGACCAAGGGCCAGGCAAAAGCACGTGCAAGGCCTTAAATTTAATCCCTAGTACAACTACCAAAATTTAAATTAAAAAAAGTCAAAAGATGCCGGAGGACTGAGCGGCCACGCAGAAGGCCAGGCAGGGCTGCTTCACATGCAAGGGAAGCCTCTTCACAGCTGTGAAAAGCGGATCTGAGGGGGACGGTTCAAGAGTTTGCAGCGGGCTGTGTGTCAAATTGTCCTGAACTGAGGCAGAGAATGGTGGGCGTCCTTTGCTGTGGCAGTCCTGGGCAAGGCCCGTGAGGAGGTGGCGGCCAGTGGGCCCACCATGCCCCAGCCCAGCTGAGGGGCGGCGTCTGATGGCGGAGCTCCCAGCCTGCCTGGGTGTCTAAGGTGATCTGTCACATCTCAGGTACAATCCTTTATCAGCATCAATAAATGAGCTGCTTTCGGGAGCGCTGGCAGGTAGCTGTGGATCTGTCTAAACAAAGCAAGGAGTCCTTCTCCCGTGGCCCTTGGGCACAGGGCACCATAGCTGGGTCACCCTGTTGCTCTGTAAGATGGCATTACTCAGGACCAGGCTCCATACAGCAGAGAAGCTAGAGCAAGCCTGGCCCCATCTCTCCAGGCAGTCAAGACGGAAGTGTCCTGGCACCGGTGCACTGACTGGAAGGGGCAGAGAGCACTGTGGAGCCCCCCTTAGGTGGGGCTGGTGGACACGGCTCCACCATAGTCCAGCTAATGGAGAGTCCACTAGGAACCCCCCGGTCCAGGGTCTGCCACACCCTTGGGTCAGGACACCCCTACCAAGGTCTGCAGGAAGTCACCAGGGTCACACCCAGGTGGCCTGTGTACCTGTGCCTAAGGGTCAGTTGGGAATAGGCACGTAGGGGGGGGGCTGCCAGTCTGGGTTGTGCAAGGCAGACTGATAAGAAGAGACTGGCGATGGCAAAGGACAGCATCTGGCTCAACTGGAGACTTTCTGCCTCTCTTGGGCTTCAGTTTCCCCATCCACACAGGCGTGGCCATTCCCAGACACCCCTGCGGGCGGTCAGCCGCGCAGCCCCCATCCCATGGCTGCCATGCGTGGATCTGGCCCCCGGAGCCAAGAGGTACCTGGCCTCCTTCCTGGGGGAAGTGGGCTAATGTATGCCGCCCCAGTGCAAGAGAAAATGGGACACAAGCTGGGAGCTCCACGCAGGCGTGGGAGAGCCTGGGGGAGCCGGGGACACCGGAAGGCAGGGAGGCACACGGGAGCCTCCCTGCGCTTCCCCGGGAATGAGGGCCAGTCCAGAGGTCGGGACACAGTGATTGCCGGAAGCAGGGGGTCACCCAAGGACAGCCCTGTGGGTGTTGGAGGCCAGCAGGAAGAGGGGTGTCTCAGGCGGAGTTCCACCTTTGCCCTGTTGGGACCCACCTCTGGCCCTCAGCAGAGCCATTGC